ATCAATAAATTAATCACAACTTATTTGTATAATACTGCCAACAATAGTTGTATATATGAGTAGACACATTGTGAATCTAAAATATCCATGATGAGCTGCCACCACGATCTACGATCCACTATGTGGCCGCAGCCGCGATGCTGGCGATGAAGTTAAACACACAAATAAAGAAGCACAACCTTTAGTTTATCCTCTTTTTTTCTGAGAACATCTTCTAAAATGTATCAGCAGAGAAAGACGCGCTGTAAACTTTCACCACATTCATCAACATTGATTCTGACCCGTCGACACGGCTTCAAGTGCCTGAGGTAATTCTTCAAATCCTATTGGCACGCTGCATGAAAACTTTATAAGAAAGTTATGATTGATAGAGCGAGTGAACAGGGAGCGATGGAGGGGGGAATAAGGAGGAGTGAGGCACTAACCTGAGCTCAACAGAGATATCAACTGTAGATATCTACCTCTTCAGAATTACAGCTGCATTGTACACATTTCTCTGGCTTTGGTTGCAGCCCCTGTGTGATGTCTTTAGAGGTGGGCTTGCCGTTCACATGTGAGAAAATCAGTGTGAAGAACCCAGTTGAACTCGTCTGACATGATCACCGGGGGGGGGGAGGCTCGGAATATATGGCTCACGTGTTGGAAATTGAAGCATGCCTCGCTATTTCCCAGCTGCCTCGGCTTGACAAATGACCCTGTCTTTACTTTCCTGAGTGGCCTGGCCTGTTTCTGTTCGGGAGACAACAGATTTATGTGACGTGGCTTTAATCACAGCTGAAACCCCCATGGCAGCAAAATGATTTTATACATCATGTGACACAAAACTCACAAAGCGTGTCTGTGCAATTCCTTCAAATTTCCTCCAGAGATCAATGTATGTGTGAAGACTCCTGTGTAAGAATTGAGCTATTTTTTCACACCCTCGCACATGAGGTTATGTTTCCAACTGCGTTTGTTTGTTAGTGAACAGGATTACGCAAAAACTAGAGGACGTATTATCACGAAACTTAGACTATCAGTCAGGGAAGTAGTGGTTAAATTATGGTGCAGATCTGATTCAGGGGTGGATCCAGGAGGTTTTTTCTCACTTCCTTTAACACATGAAATAGGACATGTATACAATGATTATATCCATGAACTGGATGATTATACTGATTTTCCTCATTCAAATAAATCTTTACTCAGTTACTGAACGGTAACAAATATTCCCTGAGGTTCAACTATATCACAGACTGGACATTTTGCCTGTGTTTGGTGTGTTTGTATAATATTTCTGTTTACATTGTATTTGTATCTGAACTCAATGTGGTGATAAAGTGCTTTGCTTTTTGTTTGTATGATCTTACATGTAAGGAACGATTTTATGGATGCTGTTAACTTTTCTTCTTATTCGATCCCCAAATTGATGAGCATGAAATGCATGAAATTAGAGGCTGCTCTGGTGTATTTTCTGAACAAGCAGCACTCGGAGAAGGCCGTTCAATATCAAAGTGGCCCCTCCGTCAGGACTATGCATCTCTGTGCTTAGCCTGTGTCCAATCGATTCTCCTCCTGGTCGCCCTCGATCGGTCATCTGACCGAACACGATTCACACCTCCCAAATAAAGTTAAACTTAGCTGACCTCTCCAGTGAATAAGCAAGAGATGTGGAGGGGGGGGAGAGGAGCCGCAGGATGAGTGGAGAAGGTGAGGAAAGGACAGAAGCAGGGAGGAGGAGGGAGAGAGAGCCAAATGTCTGTAGGCTTTTCAATGATGGGCATCACATAACTCATCACCATGATCCAATGCATTTAAAAATACATTCTTAAACACACTAACAATACAATGAGGGTGTGTTGAGGCCATCAACACAATAATATCTATGTCAAAGAAGGATTCCAACTGTTGTTTACAACATTCAAGATGTTTTTCCAGACAAAGAACGGGCTTAAAGAGGTAAAACAAACCTTTTGATCTTTTAAATTATTTCAGAATAAATAATTATCTTAAGTAAAAGTGACAAATATATATATATATATATATATATGACATTATTAAACATGGGGAATTAAGAAATCCTGGCTCAACAGCAGCAGTCTTTGTTGCTTGGTTGCATCTTTTGTTATGCAAGTAGTGCAGTGAACGTTGACAGTGCAGACAAGCAGGCAAAAGCAGATTTGCGATGTGGAATATTTAGATATGAGTTGAAAAGCACGATGACCTGACTGTTGGTTCAACAGCCATTTTTACTGCATCGCCTGCCGGACAGTAACAAGGAGAACAGTCTGCGTGCCGGGTGGCTTCAGTCCTTGATGATGCTGTGTGACTTTCACAGGTAAAGCTGTATGAAAGTTGTCCTTCACAACCTGGAGTCTGGTGCCAGTGACGTACCACCTCTCTTTGGTGATCTGGAGCTGTATGAAGAGAGATAGTGACCAAGAGAGGACCTTGGCGATACTGACACTGACTCCTCATCACTGTGTGGACAGATGTCCACCCCACTGTTGTCTTCTATTGTCCCAAGATCATCTGTACTATTTTTGATGCTGAGAAAGAGCTTTGTGTCCTCATCTTCCCTATGTTGACTGTCTCACTATTGTTTGTGAACAGGAGTGCGCTGAGGACACAACCCTGAGAAATGCCCACGTTGAGGATGATGGAGGAGGCTGCAGATTCACCTGGGGCCTCTCCCTCAGGAAGTTTAATAATCCAGCTGCAGATGGAAGTTTCCACTCTGACATCAACAGGAACGTCAGGGATATGTCTTATTTATTTGTTCTCACTTCTTTGAGGAAATGCGTAATTTAATAATGAGTTGACTGCAAAGTGCCGACAGGTTTTAACTGTGATGCAGTAGATTATTATTGTCACAGCAGGACCGTGGCTGTCTCTTATGGAACATTAACTGGAACAGGACAGCAATCAGCAAATTATTACTAAATAGACACATTAATATGGAGCATGGATTAAAGGATATACTGAGGCGAATTAGTCCCGAATCATCATCACACCCCACAAGCAACTAGAGGATGATTGATGCAGGAAATTAAGTGGACTGGCATCGTCCTTGTCGGCTCCAATGATCAAATCATCCCAGCTTTTGTTGAAGGGGAAATTGCGATATAAGTGTCGAGCGCTGGTCTTGTTAAATGTGAGCAAACAAGAATGTCAATGTATCCTCCAAGACTAACGCTGTCAGATCTAACATAGCCCACTTCCATCTCTGACACAGCTGTGTTTGATGGGCTGCTTTTTCCTTTTCTATCGAGCTGCTTTCTAGCCGAGACACAACAGTTCGCTCAGGCGAAAGGAAATTAAAGTAATATCGGAACTATCATGTTTTGTGCTGTGAGACAGAAACGTCTGAGAGGACAACGGGAGTAATGGCTCCTAATACACCAGTGGTCTCATCTGTCCATCGCTGGGCCTCGACTGCCTGCTGCTCGTGTCCTAACAGGCCCATCATCCTCTGGACAACTGCTGCACGCGACTGTGACTCTTTCTACAGTAACGTGACTCCTGCTGCTGCTGCCAGCAACAGTGCTGCTTTGTAATACGTCAAGTGAACATCTAAATCAAATGGGTATTTGGAATGAGGAAAAAAGACGGGATCTACAAACGCCAGGGCCGGTGGTGGTGGTGGGGGGGAATGGCCTCTGACGTTTCCTAGACCCGTAGAGCTAGGAGAGGAGGGGATATCGCAGCGAGCAGTAATTCGTCTTCCTTGTCATCTTTTTACTGGAGCTTAAAATATTGTTTATAGCCCTCGCCAACCAACGCAGCGCTCGGCAGCTTTGATTGATGTACGAAGCGTCGCCATGGCAACCAGCGTGCTGGGCGCAATGAGTGACTTTGGCATGGGGAGTATCTCCTTCTGGATTACCGAGACCACCTGGGGGTACGCGTGCGAGCGCTTGCCTCAAATGTCTGCTGGTGCCCCCTCAGAAGGAGGGAGTGGGTTGGAAAGTACCAGGATCGAGGAGCTGATAATGGGCTTTAACCAGTTCTAATGGAGGCCGGAACACACGTGGCTGTGAGCTTACACCTTCTGATGCACGGTGACAGCCGACGGAGGGAAAGTGCTGCGGAAAGAAGGAAGAGAGAGAAGCAACATGAGGAGGGAGGGAGGAAGAATTAGATGGAGGGAGTTATGCTTGCCAACAGCAGCTGTTTGAATGCAATCAGGTTCCACCAGGGGAGAAAATGACCCCAGTGTTTTGGTGATTGGTTGGTGCCACAGAGTCTTGGAAAAAGGAAAAACCCGTCACGTCTCAGGCCGAGCGCCTTTGTTTCCTCTGCACCGCTTCCATTTCTTTCACCCTCAGACAATATATGTAATCTCGGTGCAAATTGCACCTTAGCAGTGAAACCTACATGGCTGCAAATGGTACAAATGGTGGCTTTGTTTGTATTATCAGTATAACCAGTGTGCCCTCTACTGGTCAAAATATAAAATGCAGAGCAGTGGGCACATCCAGGGCAATGTGTGTTGCTGGGAATTAATTAAATACATGTGCAAGAGCTTCCCTGTTCCCTTAATTAAACAAAATAACATATAATGAATCTGTTCTATTCATTATTATTCACTATTCTGTAATAATCAATTTGTAATGCAAAAATTATAAATAATTTATTGACAGTATTTTATCTCCCACGGCAGTGTCTGATTCATCTGCAGAGCAACCCACACTAACAGTGCCCGTGGCATAGTTTATGTAAATAGAGCATGTAAAGCGTAGGAAGGGCAATGGATATCTCCTTGTGAGATGACAACCCAGCACCGTGGAGCTGATAAATCACTTTCCTATTGTTCCCAAGTGCATCTCTTTAACCGTTTGTATATCTTCGATGTTGCTGCCTCACAACGGCAGCAGGTTTATGTGTTTAGAATTAAGCGGAGACAAATCTGACGTGATAAAAATGAGTGTTAGTTGCAAAAGAGTTAAATCATACATATCACACACACATACTGACACGACCACTTACACATACATACCACCGGATTGTCTTCCTGGGGATTCTCATGCTGTGGGAACAGATTTAGAGTTGAGTCTGAGCAGACGTTTTTCGTTGCAAGGAGGAGTTGTTTTAACAGCAGAGATAAGAGAGTCATGAATAAAAGCCTGCAAGACACAGACAGACACACACACAGACAGACACAGACAGACACAGAGACACACACAGACACACACACAGACAGACACAGAGACACACACAGACAGACAGACACACACACAGACAGACACAGACAGACACAGACAGACTGATGAATTGACAGCAGAATATTCTGAACATGCACCTTTCTTATCAACAACCACATTCACTCATTCATACAGCTCCACTATAATGTTCTTTTTTTTGCACAGTATCTTGCACAATAGATGGAAAATGTAATTGTGAACATGTATATGTGTTGTAAGTAAAGTATGTAAGCATTCACAAGCTGATATGATTTAAGTTTGTGTCACAGTGTGCAGGGACTGAAGCACGGACTCCCTGTTCCAAGCCTGACAGCAGCTGATGGACCAGCACAGTCGTGTCACATCAACCTTGTCAACCTTTAGTGACAAATTGAATTACATACTCTCAAGCTCAATGTATACATATTATAATTATAAGTATTTTCAGTACATACAATATGTAAGTGTCTGATTTATCACATTAAAGGTTCAATCTGTAGGATTTAGTGGCATCTAGTGGTGAAGTTGCATATTGCAACCAACTGAATAGCACTTGTCTCCACTCCTGTAGGAGAATATAGTGGTAATGTAAAAATAAAGGTTATGTAGTCAAACATCATGTTGAAACAGTTGGAGCAGAGCTGAAATCCCTTTGTTTTGGTCTGTGAAGCTCAGACTTTCTATCAAAGTGTAGAATGAAAAGCTGTAACCACTCATCTCATGTATCTTTACTGGGGGAGAAATCAAAAGGGACAATGAAAACAGCAAATGGACACTCCGAGTACCTTAAACATTTTTAATGATGACTTTACAGTTCTATAGAAATATTATTTTATTTTTTTCCTGAAAACAAAACCAGAGTTCCCTTCTCTGTTGAAAAATATCTTTAAACAAGTTCAGCGTTATTTTATAGGCCGCAAGCAGTTTAAAATCCTTTATACTGTACATACTGTATCCCTGTCCCTTATTGTCTCTCTCACTCACACACACACACACACACACACACAC